AATATGCATCCAACTCTCCTCTTCTCTGAGCTTAAGGTTCGCTGTCCTGACATTGCCTGCACGTTTCTACACCCAGTTGCGTTTTCCAGCCCATGGGCAGCTCCACAATTAAATGCCACATGCATGAGGAGAAAGGTGTGCAAAACAGATTTCAGATCCTTTAAAGTAAAAGGCACAACTTGCAACACAAGGAATGGAGTGATTTAAGAAATTACAGCACTGTTTTTTTAAGCTTTCACAGAATGAACACAGAGAATGGGAGGGAAACTTTCCCCCTCTGCTCCTGTTCTTGAAGTGAATACATATTTGTGTTTCCAATAAAAGGCCATTTTTACATTAACTGTCTGTAACAGCAGGAGACAGAAAAACTAACACAATCTCCACATCACACACAGGATGATCTTCATATCACGTGGCCCTATTCTCAAAACTATTATTTATAAAAGACAACTAGGAAAATGCACAATGCATCTTTTCTGTGTCACCGGAAGGGTAATGTCTGAAGAACTTTAAGATCTTTGGGAATCTTCCACATTTTAGATTTTTTTTTTTCCTTTTTGGCTTTCCGAAGTAAATTTAGCAGCCATGCGGGCCACTGTGTTTAATTAAGCTTTCAAAAGTCCTCTGACAATGCCAACAATTGTAAGACACTTCTGTGGCTCAATCATGCAATCACTGTGACAGTTCTATTTACAATTTGTCTTAGAGAGAGTTTCTCTGACATTGTACTTTGACAAAACATCCAAGCTGCCAGTTCACAACCTTTCGTGGTCTTATTTACAAATACAGCTTGTATATAGGACTCCCAGACTCACGAACATGAGTCTCTGGGTAGTGGCCTCACAAACACAGGCTACCAGTGAAAATCCTAGAGATATATAGATAGATATATCAAGGAACAATATTCTCTATTCTCTGCATAATGAAGGTAATAAGTAAAATGTTCACCAGTATATGGGGGGGGGGGAGGGTTGTTGTTTTCTTTTTCAGCTAAAAATTCACTTCAGAAGTCAGTGGTTTTTATTCAGAATCACACAAATAAAGAGAAATTAAAAATACTCATATTAGGATACTATAATTTATAGTCTCATTTACAATTATACCATGAAGTACACAGATACATCCCCAATTCATTCTGAGCTAGGAAAGAATCAGAATGGGTACAAAAAGAGAAGGCAAGTTGATCTGCTAAATTCTGAAAAGCGTTAAGTGTGTTATACTTGATTTACCTTTAAGTAAAATGCTGATGTGTTTCGGGTTTTGAATTAGTATTTCCCCCTCCATTAGAGTAACTGTCTTATATATTTTTATCTAGTTATGAAGTATATTGCTTAAGCAAATTAATTTTTAAATATCCTGATATAAAAGCCTATGTTCATGATTTTAAGGAGAAAAAATATTATATACCAATAGTAGTAGATCTGACTACATTTTATAAGACTGGTCCTATTTTCCCTCATTCTCTTAAAAAGCTAACTTCACGTTGGCCCAACCCTAATTTAAAGATTTCCGTGTGTCATAAGCCAAAACCTCAAGGCTGACACTGTGGAATAATATTTTTGGCCTTTTCTATAAGTGAACACCAGTTTCACATTCACTAATCTCTGATGAGTATTTCTCCCATCATAAAAGATGAGACTAGAAAACACAGCAACAGCCCTATTAAAAGCCCTGACTGCCAGTCACAGGCTGCTGACATCTGATGGTGAGTATCTGACATACAAATAGATGAACTGGGTCCCACACAATATGACCTGCTCATTTCCAGTTAAATTAATACTATGTCAATGGTCTCACTGGATCACAGCCACACAGTATTTTGAATATGTGAATGAAATGAAAAAAAGCAACCTAATCAGCACACACGTTACATGGGGGAAGTGTTGAAGCACACAGCCATCTATTTGCCAGGTAAAAAAATCATCCTTTCCAAAAAACGCTCCTCTTCGTGAGGCCTATGTCCAGTCAAAATGCGTTATCACTTTACTGAAGATTTAAAGAACTCTACCTTCTTCTCCTATTTGAAAGCCCCCAATGCTAAGCTTTACTTATCTCAAGAAAATCTGTCACTGTTTTATTCCTGCTTCCTGCCTATAAAATGGCACAGAGCACACAGTGAGCTCAAATCCAACTTACATCACTTTAATAAAGCCTTTCCTACACAGCGCACTTAAACGACTACCTTTTATGTGGTTGCCAAACATATTCTTCTACAGATTCATCAATAGATCTCTCTGCTAACATGGAGCATTGCTTCTCCTTTCTTTTTGTGACACAATTCAAATATCTACTGGATGATTATTCTTATTGTTTCCTTCCTCACCACAGAAAGAAAAGCAGACTTGGAATTGTAAAGGCGTGCTTGAGAGAACGGGCTGGTAGTGCACAGCCGTCTTTCAGAACTTCCCTTCAGAGGCACCTGAGGGCCAGGGCATCTTAATTTATGTGCGATGGTAGAATGTTAATTTCACCATAGGAAACTCTTAATTCATTACTGTGAATTTGAAAAATTGTGATTCTAGTTACTGACATCTCACTTTGAGATGTGACCATGCTATTTATGTCCAGCCAATTCCAGGATGGGAACAGGTGATTAAACACAATGAAAGGAATTAAGGCTTTGTAATTATTTGTGCATGAAAGGTTTACCTCACCTGGGTTGCTACATTTGTGCACCCATTGAACATCTCAGATACCTTATATTGCTGTTCATCTCCGTGAAATTATTTAGTGTTAGCCTTCTAAAACATCTTTTAAATTTGCTTTCTTTTCTTTTTTCTTTCTTTTGTGTTTTGTTTTTTTCAGCGGGCAGGGAGGGGGTGCTTCTCTGGGCTCTGCTATTATACTGGGTCTTGAAAACAAAAAACCTTTATGAGAACCAGAAGTTAAGGAAAATATCTTTTCTTTCTCTATGTACATTCACAATTGTAACAGTAAAAAGCTTTGACTATAGTGCCTCCCCCCCCCCCCCCGCCCCAGCTTTTTAGATTCCTCTTCTAAGTACAGAAGCACAGAATTTTGGAGCTGGTTAATCTGAGAGTGAATAACCTATTTGGGACCTCAGTTAAGAAGTGTGGTTTTAATTCCTGCTTGACAGACACTGTGTTTTGTCTTTTAAACGAGCAGCTCGATATGTAAATACGATGTTACATCACGCAAGTGTTACTCCATATTTGGTGATTTAGAAAGGCTTTGGATCTCCAAAGACGACAAATCCCCTTCCGCTTGCTCTTGCTTCATTAATCATGCCTTACATTTTCCTTCCAGTCATAAGACAGCACATGGAAATGGTCACTGCTATATCCTACTTGGGGGGGGGGGAGGGGGCGGTATAAAATGTTAAACTACATGTCACATATGCTAAATGCAGTGGATTCTAGAAAAATATTTTGTAAATGCAGCTTCCCTGGTACAAATTTCTCATTTTACTAAAGAAAAAGTATCTGAGTGTTATTGCAGGAAGCATGGGGGAAGAAAGGGAAAGAAAAGAAAAGAGGAGATGAGGGGAGAGGAGAGGAGAGGAAAGGAAAGGAAAGGCCACGTTTGATTTTAATGATCAAATTCCAGAGGAGGGGAAGGAGAAATAATACAAATTTAATTCCCTCTGGACCACTGATCTACTACAGTTCAACTTTGTGATCAAACGAGGTCAGAAAGATAAGTTCCAGTGAATCAATTGATTATATGCACTATCTTTCCTAAAACCAAATAAACCTTCTGACTTTTGGGGGAGGGGTCAGAGGAAACAGAAGAGAGGGAACCACCAGAAGGCTTGGCATTTTTGTCACCACAGACTTTGCATTCACTTTGTCTTGTGTGTTAAATCACTCGTTTCTCTCTCTCTCTCTCTCTCTCTCTCACACACACACACACACACACACACAATGTTTCAAGGGTCATCATATAGTGCCACTGCTTATTACTTAGGATAGGGATTTAAGTCCCTCTGCTAGCCGTTAATTCATTTTCCTGTGAGCTGCTGAGAAACTCACACACCTAACTACCTCTCTGCTAAAATTAACCAAAGGAAGGAAAGCTGTTGAATATGTGTATGTATTTTTCCAAGAGAATTTTTACATTGTGTTACAGCAGAAACAGTGGAAGCCTGGACTGGACATTTGTAAGGGTGACATGTGGTTGTGTAAACCACAAACAAAATCAAGATACATCTGTCAAAACCACATCAGAGACAAGAGGGAGCACAGAGAAGCATTTATCATTTAGCTGAGGAGGCAGGCTGCAGGGAGCAGCCGTTCCTGTCAAACCAACCTTTTGAAATTTCCAACATGCCCTTAAACTTTTCGAGTAAGCATGTCTGTGCGCTTCAGCAACTGCCCTCTCTACTCTGGCCTGGCCAGTCGAAAATGGCATCTTAAAGTCAAGGTCACGGTGTCATCCCACCACGGGGCTGTGTTTAATTACAGCCCCATACGGGCTGACAGCCAATATGGATCCAAGGGAGCCCTGAAACTCAGTTAACTCTTTCTACCCACTCCAAAACGCCCTGTCAGCCCACCCGCCTTTGTGGAAGCCTTGAGAACTAACAGCACCCCTAGGGAGGTCTGACCAGGTCTTCTGACTCAAACAGGTCATTGGCCAAACTACAAAATGACTATACAGCCACTTCTGCCTCTGACTTGTCACGATGGCTGGAAATGGACACTGGAAACTGGGCCAGGTATACTTACTAAGGTTCAACACTTAGAAATGAGAAGGGGAGAAAAAAAGGAAAAAATTCAGCATCAACAGATCCAGAGAGAGGGTATCAGGTGTGCGCACCTCCTCCACCTACATCTGACTCAGTGAAGTGGAAAATATTTATTTTTTGTGTGTTCTGGACGTAAGCAATAGAAATGATTATTTTAACATTACAGGGCTGTCGTGGACAGTCACATGGAGAAATACAGAAAGCTCTTCACCACTCCTGAGTGCTTGGCTACAGCACCTCTGAAAATGAAAAGAAAACATGCAAACAGCTTTTCTCCTTGCTTCTCATTTACCTGCTATGTGTTCCTGTTTGGGGCAAATTCCTCTAGATGACGTTGATAAACAATCGTCATCCTCTGGCGTGACCTGGATGCCAACCTCCACGGGATTGGATGCTTTTTTCATCTCGATTGGTGAAGGGGAAGGTGGCTTATCCACAGCTTTTTCTAAGCAGAGGCTGCCATTGCATTGTTTCCGTTTGTGCTCGATAAAAATAAGAATGTCCCCCAATGGGAAGTTCATCTGGCACTGCCCACACGTGAGGAGGTCATGGTCCCCTTCTGGAGCTCCCAAAGGGCCGTGGTCTGGTTCATCATCTGTAAGAATGGCTTCAAGAGGTTCGGCTGTGGTTGGAGAAACAAAAGCACAATTATTAGAGCGCCAGAGAATAGAGAGAAAGGGGAAATACATTCTCAACCCCATCCCATCCCACCACATATAAAGTGTTTCTAGCCTCCTTCACATAATACCCAGAAAACATGAGCACCTAAAACGTGTAAGAATATGGAGGTTATCAACAAGAAAGCAAATTTATCAATGAGGCAAATCACCACATATTTAAAGAAAACTATCTCACTTGCATAACTCCTGAGAAAACACACACACACACACACACACACACACACTATAAACTGTGTCTTGTTTTAGAGTTTAGAAACAATGTTGATTGTTAAGTAAATAGTTAACACAGGGGACATAAAGAAAGCTTAAATGATAACTATCCCCAAGACTAGTAAAAACATGGATTTAAACCAAATTTATTTCTTTTTTCTTATAGACTAAGTTGTGTATTGTGCCAAAGAATAAAAGGAGAGGTAAATAAATACACACACCCTTTGTGCGTGAATGTATATACTTCTAAGTACACAGAGACTTAGCTTCGTAAATTATAAAGCTACTATTTCACACACAAAACGTGCCACATTTACACCGCCATAATAAGCAAACGACTGCATTCACCTGTGAAACGGATCTAAATAATAATCATAACGTAGCATAATTCATACTGCCAAAAACCTTTCTGATCTCACTCTCAGCAGTGCCACAAAATCAAAGAAATCCCAAATTCACTGGCAATTCTTCTCAGACACATTAGCTAAATGGGATACTTTTGAGTACTTAAGAAAATAAGCCAATTAGTCATTTTTTCATTCTAAAGAAAGGAATGCCTAAAATATTCTAAACATGTTTGCACTTGGTGGCTCCCATCACATAAAAATCAGAATGGTCAAGCAAATGCCACATTTCAGAACAAGGCTGAGAAGTCCTTTCTTTAGACTTGAAATACTTCACCTAATGTTGTCAAAGTTGACTAATTTTCTGAATGAGCTCCAAAACGCTTCATTATGGGACTATTTCTACACACATAATCACTAGCGGATGGTATAACAAGGTAGATATGTCTTTCATTCCTGTTTCCTTTTTTTTTAACTTTGCACCAAAATACTCTAGCGTCTCATTTGAACAGCTTCTATCATCTTTTAGCCTTCCAAAGGGGAAAAGAGAGTTGGTAAGTCTCTCCTCTTGAAACCATACGCTTACCCTATCAAAAAAAAAATCACAAAATACAAAACACATCTAGGATGCTGCCAGTTAATAAAACTGAAGCAGAAAATGTACAAGTCTTAAACAGTTAATCAGTCTGACCTTCTTTAGCAAGCTGCCAATTTCACATTTAATGAACTTAAAGCCACAGAGAATCAAAAAATAGATTTTAATTTGAGTGTAGAATATTGGAACCGATTTTGATAAAGTGCAAAAATCCAGTGAACTCAGGTTAAATTTATTTCAACCCTACCCAGGCTGAATATTGAGGGGGAAGATCTGGAGTAACTCCCAGATGTGCTGGGTGAAATAATATTGAGAGAGCCCTGCCTAGCTGCACCTGTGCTCAAGTAGGACATGTCATAATTTCTAGCCGCTGGTACTCCTCCTAATTTAACATAAGGTCACCACAGGAATATGAAGGTTATATTCCCACTAATAAAGACAGCAAGGTAAGCACTTATGTTTCTTTGCCCAACATACTGGCCAAAGATAAACACAAAACACACATGCATGCTTTTCAAAGAAAAGGAGACAAACAGAAGTGCTTTTGCATTATGCCTCTATGTCATTTTTCTCCTACATTTGCTTTCATTTTGACCAAGTGAGAGACTGAATAAGGAAGTCAGTCTCCAAGATCCCTGCTATTTGAATTAAGGATTTTTAAGTATGCATTGACAAATGTGGCTTTTTGCTGTTGTTCGGCATTAAATGCAAGTTCTGAGGGCTATAGATTAAAGAAAGATTCAGGAATAATATTTTGTGTTATTAAAGTTAGTACTGTGTAGAACCTTAGCAAAAAAAAAAAAAAAAAAAACCCCACATTTTTAAAACTCCACCGTTAAGATTTGTTGTTGTTGTTTTTATCCCCAAGGCCTGACATATTTCTGAAAGTGGAAATATTATTTAGGAGCAAAAGGAAATATTCTCCTAGGTATCAAATAGTTAAAGGTAATGCGGTACAAAACAGACTTGGTTAAAGTCTTCTAAATGTAGTGACTGAACTGATTTACAATCAAAACCAGGAAATGAAGTGGTAATTCAGAGGTTGCTGATTACACCTCCACATTTCACCTAATTAATTTTATAGGAGGCAAAGTTCTTGAAAATAACAAGATGATCAAATGTACAGATATAAAACCTGTAACCTCAACATTTTCTATGCTCTTAACGTAAATTATTGCTAATTAACAAGAATTATATCCTAATGTATGAAATACGTCTAACATCGGGCTTCTTGCAAAACATTTGGCTAGTAATGTTCAAAGAAATATCAAAACGTGTTCTTATTATTGCTGCTATATTATTAAAAATGAGACGAAGTGGGGCACAAAGAAAATATGAAAATACAATTCTCTTGGTGTAGTCTACTGATTTGCATTGACATCTTTTCTCGGTGGTAATCAACATTTCCTTTCTGGGCATCTGTTAATTTCTCTGTATTTTAATGCAAATTCCTCTTTCCCTAAAAACATTCCTAACCTCAGCCATTTTACCCCCTCCCTCAATTCAACTCCATCCTCCTTCGCCCCCACAATACCAACGTTTCTAAGCTCCGGCCTAAACCTCCCGCTACAAAGCGGGGAGTCCAGGATTGAAGTGGAAGGGAGTGGGCAAATAATCATAATAATTAGCCGCGAATTCTCTACAAGAGAAGAAAGAAATAGAAAATAAAATGCTTCTACGTTCAAACAGCGAGACAGACCGGAACGTCTCAATGCCCCAGCGGCTGACTGAGATCTCCTTCCTCTCTGCAGTTGCAAAGGAATAAATTTAAAGAAAAAAGCTCTAGAAGACATGTAGGGAAGGAGCGAGGGAAAGGAAGGCTGCTGGGGGAGGGGGAGGGAGGAAAAGAGCTATGCCTTCAAGTTTGCGCTCCAAGTCCTTCCTTTTGATTGTCTTAACAGGGTAAGGAAGCAAACCTAGTCTGAAATGCAGAGGAAAAGCAAAGAAACAAAAGCGAAGGCTAAGGCTAGAGGCCCGGGACCCGGGGCCGATGGGGGCGGGCTTTGCAGAAAGTGAAGTTGGGCGCCGGGACTCAGGCACAAAGCGAGCAGCTCGCAGGCTGCAGCCTCCGGCCGCGCTTGCTGCAAACACGTGCAGCGGCGACTGCCGGGCCGTGGGGCCCTGGCCAGGCCGGGAGGCAACGAGCAGCCAGGGGCCCCGACTGCCGCCTCCACCGCGGTCCAGCCCGGCCTCAGGGTGACAACCTTTCCCTGGCCCCTCCAGCTGGAGAGATGGGAAGTGAGGCTGGAAAACTCGGCTGGTTAACCCGGTGCAGTCTCCGTATCCCCCCACACACCTCAAGCGCGGGCCCTGAAATTCATTCTGTGTCCCCAGGCTCACACTTTTTACTTTGGGGGTTCTCTGCAAATGCGTTTCTCCCGCAATTCCGGGCACGAGTGTGCGCAGCGCCGCGGCGGCTGCGGTTATTCATTATTAATGACGCTGCTCGCCCGCATCATTATGATGATAACTATTACTATTGTTGTGATTTCGGGCTCTGAGGCGAGAGCTGCGGGAGGCGGGGGAGTCAGGGGTCGGGCCGTAGAGCCGCTGTGCAAGCCCAACGTAGCCGCCGTTGTCCGTGCTTAGCGCGGGGGTGTGGGGGTGGAAGTGAACCCGAAGACTAAGTGCAAACTTGCTGGATCCCGCCCTTTGGCCTTGTCTCGAAGACAGAGTGCGTACCCCCGCTTTTCCCCCTGCCAAAAATGTCCGCCCCGAAAGAAAGCGAAAACTGCCCCCCACTCCGCGCCCGGCGCACGGGATTGTCGGCCGCGCTCCAGAGCGCTTTTTCGCAGCACTGGCCAGAAGCATTTTTAAAGTCAAAATGAAGAACAAAGACATAAGGGGTGATGGGGGGGAGAAAGGGAATTCTGCCTAACCGTCCGTTTCCCCCACCCCCACCCTCGCAAAGCTCGTCCCTCCCCGGCCGAGAAACGCAAAGCAGGGAGTGGGGGAGGCTCTGGTACAGGTTCAAGTTCGCTGAGCTTTCTTGATCTTGTTCTGCCTCCTAGCGACCGAATGGCTCCTTCAGCCCAAGAAGCGGAGGATTGGGGGGAGGGGGGGTCCTGAACACCGGAATGGCTCCCGCCCCCTCTGCGCACCCAGAAAATGATGAAGAACTGGCCCCTGCACCCCCTCCTTACTACTCTTTCAACCCAAAGCCCACACTGAGACAGGGCTAGAGGCCAGCTAAACGCACCCAGCCTGGAATGTCCCAAGGTGGACCCGGGGTGGGTGGGGGATAGGGGAGCAGCCTGGATTGCACGCCTCAGTCCGTCCTTTGAGCCCCCAGTGCATCCTTCAGAAGAAGGTTCCGGCTTTCCCGAGTCCTGCGAACACTGCCCTTCCTTCCCGCCGGTACCTGGCCGGGCTGTAACTTCACACCGCCGCACGCCGCGTCTGCTCCGCATCCGGCGCGGCCGGGGGAGTGGGGGGCGGGGGAGAGCGGCGAGGGAGGGATGCGCGGGGGTGGGGAGAGGGAGGGCCCCGCAACGTGCCGGGGCGGGGGGAGCTTCCGAAGTGTGTGACAAGTTCCAGGGCCCAGTGAAAAATCCAACTCCTTATGCGCACCCCCCTTTAATAAATACAGAACTGGGTATAGGTGGTGTTTTAAAATTGCATCAAAATTTAAAATAAGGGTCACGAATGAGGAAGGGAAGGGATGTGGGCCCTCTCACGCCTTTCTTTCCCTTGCTGCCAAACTTTCCGAAGTGCCCACCGCCTGCCTTCCCGGACGCACTCTGTTAGCCAGGACACAGTAGCCCACCCACCACCCCATAGAGACTCAAAAGGACCACTGCCTATCCCCCCCCAACCCCCGACCGAGCCAGACCCGGGCTAGGGGGCAGGAATTCAAGGATGGGGTGCAAGGAGTACGAGGATCCAGCACTCCCAGAACACGCAGTCGCACATACTACTCCCTTGCTCACCTCCCCACCCCACCCCCACCCCTCCCAATTCACCCCCCACCTGGCCAGGCGAGGCTCGAGAGGCGGGGGGGGGGGGTAGTGGCCAGACCGGGGCCGGGGGGGTCAATGAAAGCACGTGGTGACCTCCCCGAGGTCCGGCGCTGTGGACAAGAATGTCGGGGGGCGGGGGAGGGGGAAGCAGACGCGCTTTTTCAGTTGCTTTGCAAAATAAAAATGCTTCGTAAAGCTGAGTTTCTCCCCAGCCGATTTCGAAGTCTGGTGGGCTAGGAGGAGATCTGGGCATTGTGCTGGGGGCGAAAATGCACCGTGGACCCGGCTGGCGCGGAGTCGCCGCACGGCTTGCCGCTGTGCGGGAGGGCGGGCGGCTGGCGCGGGGTGGGCGATCCTGGGCAGGGCAGGGGCGCGGCGAGGCCCGGCGAGGCCCCGGCGAGGCCCCGGCGAGGCCCGGCCGCCGCCGCCGCCCGCTCCCGGGCTGCCGCGCCGCGCTCGGTCCTCTGTCTGTTTGTTGGCAGGAGGCTCCCGCACACGCGGTGCTTGTAAACATTCAGACACGAGATTTTTCCCAATCAAAATCCACTTCCACTTTTTTTGAAAATCTTCCAAAAAATAGTAAGAGGAGGGAGTTCCTCGCTCCCTCTCCATGCCGCCGGCGCTCTAAGTTTGCAACTAAAGGGGTTTTGGGGAAGGGGGTAATTGTATTTTTCTCCCTCTTATAGAGATTGAGATTTTTGCAGGGGGGGGTGGGGGAGTCAAAGAGGAGAGCGTTGCAGAAAACGGCTGACCGAACGCTCGGCTTCTGTTTTGGGGCAAGAAATTCTATATCCTCTTGCCTTGTTTTATTTTTATTTTTTTATTTTATTTTATTTTTCACGTCTTCTCGCCGCCACTTGAGGTTCGGCTGGGAGGGGTGGGCAGCAGGAACCCAGGCGCCGGCGGCCCGAGCGCCCTCCCTCCATCTCCCGCTCGCCCCGGGCCCTTGCTCCTGCCCTTCGGCGGCGGCGGCGCGGAAGGGCAAGCGCGAGGAGCCGGCACAAAAGGCAGCGGGACAAACACCCACCTCGGGCCGGAACAAAAGGCGGCAGCGCCGGCCGAGGCTCCGGTCCTTCCCGGTCTCCAGGCTCTCCCAGCCGCCGCGGCCCCTCTCCACACTCTGCAGACTCCAGAGCGCCGGGGGGCCCCCTCCCACAATCCCACTTTCTCACTATTGTGGAGATGACTACTTTCCTCCTGGTGCACACTTGACCGTGAGCGCGCCGCTGTCCGAGAGCCATTCTCACCTCCTTTTTTCCCTGGGAATTGTTTTTTGGCTTGGGCTCCCTCCTCCCGCCCCGTTTTCCTTCCTTCGGTGAGTGGAAGCAACCCCCCTTTCCCCCTCCAGCTTCCTCCTCTAGGTTTGCAAGAGTTGTACGCATCCATAGCATTGTTCATTATTTTGCAAAATTGGAGGGCAAATCATTGCGTTCCTTTTCTAAAAGCGAAATAAAGCAGCGGAAAGCATGAAAGAGGAGGAGTCAAATTTTTGTAAATTAAATAAAAATAAAAGGTGCGTGCTATCCCAAAAGTGTACGTACGGCTGTGGTTCGGAATAAGATGAGGTTTGTTGTTTGTTTGTTTGTTTTTTCTCCCTTTAAGCTCTTTTCTCCCGACTCTCGGAGGTTCATCTCGTGAAAAAATTAAAAAATGCATGCACACACCCCTCTCTCCCCCTCGCTCTTACTTCTCGTCCTGCGCGCTCTCGTGATTATTAATAATTATTATTACTATTATTGGGTTACTTACGCGAGAATTCCCGTTTGCTTAAGTGCTGGGGTTTGCCTTGCTTACGGCGAGACATGGTGGGCTGCGGGGCGGGCGGCGGCGGCGGCGGCGGCGGCGGCGGGCGGACGACGGCTCGGTTCACATCGGGAGAGCCGGGTTAGAAAGAAGGAGACTCCAGAGAAAATATCTTCATCAGTGCCTTTTGACATCCAAAATAAATTAGAAATAATACAAAGATGGCGCAGGGAAGATGAATTGTGGGAGAGCCGTCATGGCTTTTTTTTTTTAAGCAAAAAAAAAAAAAAGAGAGAGAGAGAGAGAGAGAGGAGAGAGATAGAGGGGGAGAGAGAGAGAGAGAGAGAGATGAAAAAAATGGCAAAAGCCCCCCTGAGCTGCAAGTTCAAGTGCGGACGTGACGTCCCTGCGAACTTGAACGTCAGGAGTCTGGATGGACAGAGACACACAAAACATGGGCAGGGCGAGCAGGAGAGAAGGGGAGGAGGGAAGGGGAAGCTCACACCAATGGACACACATCAGGGGCTGGACATGAAAAAGAGACCAGGACAAGCCAATGGCCAGTGCGGGGCGGGGGAGGTGCGGGGCGGGGGGCTCCGCAGACGCCAGACGCGGCCCCCGGGGGAGGGGCGGGCGGAGGGGAGGGGGCGCTGGGGCCGCAGGCTCACCAGTGGCCGCAGCCAGCGCCGTGGCGGCAGCGTGGCCGGGAGAGAAGAAAGGGGTAGCTGGGGTGGGGGGGAGCAAGACGTGCGCCCTTGCTCCCCCCCGCCCGGACGGGGACCCTAAAATGAAAGATTACTTTAAAAACAAAACAGAAAAAAAAGGCAAGAGTGTACCGCGAGGCTGCAGCCCGGGTCCGGGGAAGCGCGGGCGGAGGGAAGCCAGGTAGAGTTGCTCCCGGACACCCTCCTGCGTGCGCACACCCACTTCCCCTCACCGCCGCGCAGCGGCCGCGCTTGCTCCCCGCGTGCGGACGCCTGGGGCCGTAGTGAAAACCCTGAGCCCGCGGCTGCGCTCGGGAAACTTTGCCTGAGGAGAGGCTAGCAAAGAAAAATCACCCGAAGTTGAGAGCTGAGCCTCCAAGTTACAGCTCCACAGCCGGCGAGGGGAGGCGGGAGGGAGCGCGCGGCAAAACGGAGTCCAGCCCAAGTTTGGAGGGTTGCGGGTCCGGAAAGGCAGCTCTGGGGCCTCCCGGGGCCGGGGCTGCCTGGGGAGAGGGGGCAAGAGCGAGGGAAGGGGTAGAGGTCCCGGCCGCAGGGCACCCCCAAGGACGAGTGGGATGGGGGGCCTGAGATCTGAGAGCTCTGGCATGATTGCCACTGGAAGCACGGACTCTAGGCCCCCCAGGGTCGCGGAGAGAGAGGCCAAGGAATAAAGAACGAGGAGCCAGACTCGGGGCACGTTCCAGCCCCCAGAGGGGAGTACCGGGGCCCGAGGCGAGGAAGGCGCCGAGGCGTCCACCTCACGGAGCGGCCGCGGGCCAGAGGACAAAGCATGGGCAGTCCCCAGAGTTCCAGTCCCTGGGAACGTGCTCCCGGCGCCGCGGGAGGTCCTCGAGCCGGGTCCCAGGGACGGACACACCCCCTCCCACTCCAGAGCAACTGCTAGAGCATAGAAGAATGGAAAGAAAATGTTTCTTACAGGCAGGACACAACTATTCCTGTGCTGTTACCCGGAGAAAGAAAATGGGGACTGGAGAGAGAGCGACTGGCTCGCAGGAGCAGCGGGAAGACCACGGTGGTGGAGTGACTACCCTGGGTCAACGCCGTGCTGCTCAGGCACCCAGAGCCAAGGCATACACCCTGGAGTCTGCAGGCCCCTCTGGCCTTTCTACAGACGTTCCCGGGAAATTAAGGAAGACCTGTTGGAAATAAACCCCTGTCTCTTTAACGCACACACGCGCTCTCGCACACACAGAACACACGCGCGCGCGCGCTCGCGCGCGCGCGTGCTGCCGCTGTCAAAAAGCGGGCTTCACTCTGGCGTGGGATACTTTCAGTTTTACGTAAAATGTACAGCAACAGCACCCCCTGCGATTGGAAAGTTTATTCAGAAACGTGTCTGCAAAGTCCCCCGGCGTCTCCCGCCTCCCAGCCTCCCCGCCTGCCTGCGCCACCCTGTAGCCTCAGCCGCCACCGCCGCCGCCGCCGCCGCCGCCGCGGAGACCGAGCTGCGATTCCAAATCCGGAAGGGCAGGGGGGTGGGGGGTGGGGAGAGGCAAATGGACTCAAGTCCAAGGGAGGCGCGGGGGGGTGAAGGGTGGAGGCGGGTCGCTGTGGCCCGCGAGACTCGGAGCTGCAGGTGGACGTGTGTGAGTGTGTGTCTGCAAAGCAAGGAGCCTTCCTTCCCTCTCCTCCAAGCGGCTCCACAGCCCCTCGCGTCTTCTTTCCCCCTCCTTAGTCTAAGGGACGTCGTTTCTGTAAATTCACCCACCCGGCTGGGGGCTTTATTGTTTTAAGCGAAAGCCCCCCGGCTTGCAAGCGCGCACCCACCTCCCTGGCGCGCCGGCAAACGGCTGTTTATTCCGTGTTGTCTTAGTAAAGTTTCAAACCTATTGGAAAAGGACTAGCTTGCCTGGCTCGGCGAAGCTTCGGGCCCCACTAAGGAAGAAAGGGAGGTTTTGATGCCCAACATTAGGAGAGATGTGTGCTGAACTGCGTTTGCGTAAATGTGTTTTGTTGTTATTGTTTCCCTCCAGCTTAGGGGTGGGGGTTGGCGTTCAAATCCTGTTTAAGAAGCAGGAAGATTCACTTGCAGTAAAGCTCTGTAGCGTGTGCGTTACACCATTTCCCCTTTTTCATGAGTTCTTCAGAGCAGGTCGGCATCTCCCACTACTGTCTTTTTTTTTTTTTAATCTTTTTAAACTAGCTTTAGAGAGACCAAAATAGTGTCATTGCAAGAGACAGGGTGCGTGGAGATGAATGGTTGGAGGGAAGGCGAAGAGAGGGAAGAAGAAAGTGCAACTGAGAGGTCTTTGAAAAATAAATAAGATAAAAGCCTCATCAGCTAACAATTGTGAGTCAGATTCTTTCAGAACCGAGTTTTTCAAATTTAAATGTGTCCCCCATCTATCCATCCGTGAAAGTCTATGTATAGAGAAGGTATATAAATGGGCGAATGTGTGTTGTGGAAATATATATGTATGATTTATATATAATGGTGTGTATTAAGCTTTTCAGGGTTGTCTGTAGTGTACAAAGTAATGACTTTATTACCTCTGAAAGGTTCTGTGGTTCACATTTAACAGTCTTCTGAATTACAATTCATTACACAAGTGTGTGCTCTCTAAAACCGGCACCCTATCAGGGCCGCTATCTGTGGTTATTTCCAATAAATAACTGGCAACATTTTATTGATTTTCTTTTTTAAAAAAATCATAGGAAATTAAGCACTTAGTTACAAGTAGGTCTGCCAGGTTATTGCACTTGTTTCAGATTCCAGGGGGTTCCTTCCGAAACCACATCTTAAAACATACATTAAAAATCCAGTTTTGCAGCTGCTTTCTCAAGGTGCCAGTGGAGAGGTAAGCAGCGACGTTTCCACCATTAACATATATTTAATTCCACCATCATAAAATGCCCAGAGTGAAATAGGAACTGCCCTCTGCTCCCGCCCCTCCCCCAGCCTGATTTCACCCAGTCCAGAAACCTGGGCTGTGTATTGGCATTTGATCCCTCCTCGTCACGCACCCCCACTGCTGGTCCCTTGTGCTCGACTCTACGAGTGACGCCCCCTCCCTCGTTGCTGCTGGACGCTCGCTAAAGCGCCTAAAAGTAGGGGGTGGGGAAAGGTTTGTATGCGTGTTTAAAGAAAGAAAAATGTGTTGTTTTAAAAGATTTAAAAATATTACATAAGTATTGATTAATGATGCAGGTGGTTTTGTAGAGGGTGAAAGGTCACGTTAAACGCGCACACTTGGATACACAATAAGTGTATTTACCTTTCCCAAAGTGGCTTTTAGAAAGTAATAAATTATGACAACGTTAAAATTATTTTCTGGCCGTTCAGTTAACTTCATTTGGAGCTGAGGAACCTTTGCTAATTACGCTCCGTGAGCTCTTTCCCAAACCTTTGGTGACGACATTGAATGTAAACTCCAGGCCAACAGACGACCCCTCCCCTTCCCTCCTCCCCCTTTTTATCTTGCCCGCGGAGGAGACTCCCCAGGACTTCCTGCTGTATATATTCCGCCTCTGATCTCCGCACTTAATAGCCAAGTCCTGGTTTATGCTTTATAATGTGTTGACAAGTTTTCTAACAGACTTTCTGAAATAATGCACATATATTCACGTCGGTTAGAAACCCACCGTATTTTTAGAGTCGAGTAGATCTATACCCTAATGCAGTGAGAGAGTGTAAATCATAGAGGATTTCATAGTCCTTTCAGTAGTTTTCGGTATGAAGTATGAGCCGCGTGGCCTCCAGACGTAACCTTTTAGAAAAAAAGACAGTGCTTTTATTTTATGGTGTAAAGTGCTTTTAGCTCCAGGGCTCAGAACGTGAATGTGGTCAACAAACAGCTCCAAGAGGGAGACTTAATACAGTCCCAGCCCTCGTGCCGAGGATCGCCTGGCGCGGGGGACTCGGGCTGAGCTGGAGAATGAAGGGTTAAAAGGTCTGTCTCATTGGAAACTACAAGATTAAAATAAAATATTCACTATCTGCCTTTAGGGGGAAACACCTTTACAGGCTTAAAGATAAATAAATGAATGACTGAATGAATGGTTAAAAAATTGTTGCAATCAGTTCCACCTCGCTTTTGATTTTACTTTTTCTGCTTTTCGTTCTTTCTTTCTTTCTGTCTTTTTTTTTCTTTTTTCTGTCTTTTTTTTTGGTTTTGGTTTTTGTTTTTTGTTCTTTGGAGGGTTTTTTTTTTTTTTTTGTCTAATAGCAGTCCAGAAAATAGAGAATGGGCAGTCATTTTCATAAAAATATAACTTAGGTTTAGATTCTGTATTTGGCATAAGCTTTGTATTTGGGGTTCTTGAGGCTGGGAGTGCTAGAGTGTCCTTAAGACAAAGGAAAAATTATTTTTAAAAAAATAGGAAGTCGTGTGTGAGAAAGGGGGTGGGCCTTAACGTGGGCACCCCAAATTGAAAGGTGGGAAGGACCACTTATCCTTCCTCTCTCCAGCCTCCCTCAGCCCCCACCTCCCTATAACATTTCTTCCTCCTCTACTGCCAGTGTGATCCAGAGCCTAAGACCTAAGGAGGCCCCTTGAGGGAAGTGTCTACACCTTATGCAAAGGCAGACATTCCCCAGGGAGGTTGGGGGGGGGGGGGCGCGGGGACACTTAGTCTGGTACTTCT